TTGCCAGAGTAATAAAGGAATGTAAGGAAGAGCTTAGTATGCCCTTAGCTAAGTTGTTTAACATGTCCTTAAAAACAGGTGTAGTACTAGAATCCTGGAGGATAGCGAATGTAATACCGATTTTCAAGAAGGGGGATAGATGACTATCCTCTAACTATCGCCCAATCAGTCTAACATCAATAGTAGGCAAATTACTGGAAGCAATCATTTCAAACTCTATTCGAAATCACCTGGAGAAGCACCGATTGATCAATGATTCCCAGCATGGCTTCACAAGCGGACGTTCTTGTCTAACTAATCTATTAACATTCTTTTCATCAGTTTTCGAATCGGTGGACGAGGGGCACAATTATGATGTGGTATATCTCGAATTTAGCAAAGCCTTCGACAGAGTCCCCCACGAAAGATTAATTAGAAAGGTAGAAGCTCATGGCATCAAAGTTAACATCCTTAAATGGATTAGGGCGTGGTTATAGGACAGGAAACAGCGAGTGAGCATTAACAGCACTAAGTCCCATTGGAGCAACGTCACAATTGGAGTTCCCCAAGGCTCAGTACTTGGACCATTATTATTTATTATATACATAAAGGACATAGATATCGGCATAGACAGCAACATAAGTAAATTTGCTGATGACACTAAAATAGGACGTGTAATTAAATCTGACGAGGACTCCGCAAAACTACAGGAATATCTAAAAAAAATTTTCGAATGGTCTGAAAAATGGCAGATGAAATTCAATGTGGATAAATGTAAAGTACTCAGTATAGGAGATGTAAACAGGGAAACCAGATACCAGATGAACAACGATGCCATAGAGAAATCCGACTGCGAGAGAGATTTAGGAGTAATGATAAGTAGGAACCTTAAGCCAAGTAAACAATGTGTTTTTGCTCGTAACAAGGCTAATAAAGTACTTGGGTTCATAAAAAGGAGCGTTAGTTACAAGACGAGTGAGGTCATCCTAAAACTGTATCTTGCTCTTTTGAGACCACACCTGGATTACGCAATTCAGTTCTGGTCACCGTATTACAGAATGGATATAGAATCATTGGAAAGAATTCAGAGGAGAATGACAAGACTAATCCCGGGCATTAGGAACCTTGAGTATAGAGACAGGTTAAAGCACCTTAATTTGCACTCCCTCGAGAGACGTAGAGCGAGAGGCGACCTGATAGAGATGTATAAGTGGAAGTCGGGGCTAAACAAAGGGGACATTACAAAGGTACTCAAACTATACAACCAGGAGCGAACTCGAAACAATGGTTTTAAATTAGACAAATTTAGATTTAGGCGTGAAATAGGTAAACACTGGTTTGAAAACAGAGTTGTGGATGAATGGAACAAGTTGCCAAATATCATCATTAACTGGAATACGCTGAATAGCTTCAAACATAGGGTGGATGCTTATATGAGCAATAGGGATTGGGTGTAAACGGGACTGCCCAGTATGGGCCAATAAGCCCGCTGCAGTTTCCTCCATTCTTATGTTCTTCTGTTCTTAAGTACTTTACATTTGTCCACATTAAATTTCATCTGCCATTTTCCAGACCATTCGAAAAATTTGTTTTGATCTTCCTTAGTCCACTTCAGATTGAATTACACGCCCTATTTTAGTGTTCTTCAGCAAATTTACTATGTTGCTGTCTATGCCGATATCTATGTCGTTTATGTATATAATAAATAATAATGGTCCAAGTACTGAGCCTTGGGGTACTCCACTAGTGACGTTACCCCAATCGGATTTAGTGCCGTTAATGCTTACTCGCTGCTTCCTCTCCTGTAACCACGCTCTAATCCATTTTAGAATATCTCCTCCAAAGCCATGAGCCTCCACTTTTCGTATTAGTCTTTCGTTGGGGACTCTGTCGAAGGCTTTGCTAAAGTCGAGATATACCACATCATAATCGTGCCCGTCGTCAACCAATTCGAAAACAGATTAAAATAATGTTAATAGATTAGTTTGACATAAACGCTTGCTTGTGAAGCCATATTGGGAATCATTGATCAGCTTGTGCTTCTCCAGGTGATTTCGAATAGAGTTTGAAATTATTGCTTCCAGTAATTTGCCTATAATTGATGTTAAACTGCTTGGACAGTTGTTCGAAGATAGTGATCAATCTCCCTTCTTGAAAATAGGTATTACATTCGCTATCCTCCAGGATTCTGGTACTACAGTATACCCGTTTTTAGTGACATGTTAAAAGAATTTGCTTAAGGCATACTAAGCTCTTCCATACATTCCTTCAGTACTCTGGCAAATATCTCATCAGGACCTGGTGACTTATTAGGCTTTAGTTTGTCTATTTGCTTACTAACATCGTTGCTAGTCGCTACTATCTCGCATAAGCTATTTTTCTTCGCTATCTCTATATTTAGTCGGTGCCTCGGGTATCATGTTTAAATTTTCGGTGGTGAAAACTGTTGAAAAATATCTGTTCAGATTATTGCTCATTTCTCCGTCGTTATCCGTTAGCTCGCCGGTATCTGACTGTATTGATCCAATCTTTTCTCGTGTTTTAGTTTGATACATTTGATAGAATCCCTTGGGGTTTGACTTCGCCTCCCTTGCTACCTTCAGTTCATTATTCCTCTTTGCTTTTCTTATCTCGGTCTTAACCCTCCCGGCAAATACTTTATAATAATCTCGGAGATAAACTTCACCACGATTTATTCTCATGCCTATAGCCTTCCTTTGTCCAATAATATTCTTTAAATAATTATTTATGCATTTGGGGTCATTGTTATTTGATCTGAGTTTTCTGTATGGTATGTTCTGCCTTTGTACATTAAGTAACTTGTTATTTAAATTGTTCTGGATCTCGTCACCCTCAGATCTCGTGATCAGGTCATCCTCAACCGTCATATTTTGTGAGGTTATCATTGTAAAGTCACCAGGTAAAGTGAGGTCACCCTCTGTGAGGACATTGCATGAGGTCACCTCACGTGACGTCATGTAATTCACCCCCAAACTTAATACCCCTTCCCTAGGCTGTCATTTCAAATTATCAAAGTTTGCCCTTCTGAAATCTGGGACTTAAATGGAATTTTCCTTGCGACTGCCAGTAAATTCTAATTTGAATCGTACTTCTCCGTGATCGCTAGTTCGTTCCCTACCTCGACATGACTAGCGAGGTTTTCTCTGTCTGACAGAACTAAATAGAGTATATTATTACCCCAGGTGGGTTCGGCTATAGATTGACTTATGAAACAGTCCTGAGCTGTTTCAAGAAAATTCTCTGATTCAGAGTTACCTGTAAGGTCGATCCAATCTATTTGCCTAAAGTTAAAGTCTCCTACTATACGGACTTTGCTATGTCTGGAAGCCCTGCTCATTTCATCCCAAATAAGTCGCTCGTTAACTCATCAAGATTATGAGGTCTATATATTAGTCCTGTGATTACCTTTTCCTTCCCATCGATTAATTCTATCAAAGTTGTTTCTATATTCAGTTCAGTTTTTATTTCCTTATTTATTTCACACTTCAGATTATCCCTGACATAGATTGCTACTCCGCCTCCTTTCCTAATCTGCCTATAGGTATGGAATAATTTGTAACCTGCAATTTGGTATTTCTACAGGTAACTCACGTGTGTCTAGGTTTATCCATGTTTCGGTGAATGCTATTATATCGATTTTTTCGGTACATACCAGCGCCCTGATTTCATCCATTTTACTTCTCATACTTCTACTGTTAGTGTAGTAGATATTTAAGTTAGTCGTGATCTGAGTCCTCCCTTTGTCGCGTTATGTTTTACCTCCCTACCTAATTTAGTTTTGTCATCATTCCTTGCACTATTTCTCTGTAACCTTTGACTTTGCTTACTCGCTCCCATTGCAGTTTCCTGCATGCTCACATGTTCCCCTAGCAGTTTAAAGACTCCACGTGTCGTCTGTCTGTTTACAACCGACCCGCTCGGTCTGAGTGTATTCTCACGTTCACAAAACACGTAAAATTACACCATGATGCTTCAACAAAGTTACCTTCAGTGGTACAAAATAAGTACTTTCTGTTTAATATAGAGGAAACGGCTAGAAAGTTAGGTTGATTGCTATGGTTGGTTAGGTCAGCTTCTATGGGGAGGGGTAACTAAAAAATTATTCATTTCCGACTGACGTGAAGGTCAAATTCGAATGAATCACACAAATACCATGGGAAAACCTAGCTTTCTGGTCAAAAACCAATTGATAGTGAAACTGCAATTTTACCGTATTATGTTGGTATTATGTAGGTGTTATGGTGGTGTTATGTAGGTGTTATGGTGGTGTTATGTAGGTGTTATGGTGGTGTTATGTAGGTGTTATGGTGGTGTTATGTAGGTGTTATGGTGGTGTTATGTAGGTGTTATGGTGGTGTTATGTAGGTGTTATGTTGGTGTTACGTAGGTGTTATGGTGGTGTTATGTAGCTGTTATGTTGGTGTTACGTAGGGGAAATTTTCAGGTGAAATACACTGGGGGCGAATCTTTATGTGAAATAACAGTGAAACCCCGAGTAAAAAAAAACGGTAAGAATTGAGAAGATGTAACAGTCTTGCCGCTGATAATACTATACTACTGATCTGATATCACCAATGAATGAAGTTACACATTCTCCTCACAAACTCATGTACAGTATATAAAGGCACCGTTAAGTTAACCTTCTCCACTCTATCAACCTTGTGTATAATGGTGTCCATTCACTGTAAAGATCTTATCGTAAGTATCAGACATTTTTGACGGCCGTTGAGGAGCCACGGTTCACCTTTGTGTTGTTAAGTAGGTTGGCGCCACACCAGGATGAGTGCAATGGTTAGTCTTATTAAGGTTCTACTTCTTCTTCTTCTTATTATTATTATTATTATTATTATTATTATTATTATTATTATTATTATTATTATTATTATTATTATTATTATTATGTTGCTGTTGCTGTTGTTGTTGTTGTTGTTGTTGTTGTTATTACAGCATCGAAATATATAGAATAAGAGTAAGGCTATACTGCACCTACATAAACATACCTCATTGTACCATTTGAAGTCACACATCATTATGGACTCCCTGTACTGGCAGAAGGTGGATTGTTTGTTCACCAGCTGATAGTGTGACAATGTTCCTCCTGCTGAACCTGGCACTCTGGCACCTGATGTCCACATAGTGCCTAAAGTTGATACTTCCATCAGCATTAAAATCAAAATTGAGCTGGAGGGTCGTGGCATTGTGTTGATCTGTGAAGGAAACAAAATAATTAGACAAAATTAATAACCAAGGATAAAGGGGAGAGGAAATTCTACCAGCTGGTGACTCAACACAATTAACATTTATCTATAAAAGTCAGTAATCTCATGGCTTTGTGGTCTGAATTCTTATCTTGGGTTTAACCGTTTCGCCGCCGCCCACGATCACACTCTTACCAACACTAAATGTCAAATAGTGTGTGGGTGTGTGTGTGTGTGTGTGTGTGTGTGTGTGTATGTAAAATAAAGTCTCCTTGGCCAGGTATGTGTATGTTGACCAACTTATCTGTGTGTGTGTGTGTGTGTGTGTGTGTGTGTGTGTGTGTGTGTGTGTGTGTGTGTGTGTAGATAAAGTCTCCATGGCTGGTATGTGTGTGTGTTGACCTACTTATCTGTGTGTGTGTGTGTGTGTGTGTGTGTGTGTGTGTGTGTGTGTGTGTGTAGATAAGAGTCTCCTTGGCCTGGTATGTGTATGTTGATAACTTATCTGTGTGTGTGTGTGTGTGTGTGTGTGTGTGTGTGTGTGTGTGTGTGTGTGTGTGTGTGTGTAAGATAAGTCTCCTTGGCCTGGTGTGTATGTTGACCCTACTTGTCTGTGTGTGTGTGTGTGTGTGTGTGTGTGTGTGTGTGTGTGTGTGTGTGTGTAAGATAAAAGTCTCCTTGTTGGGTATGTGTATGTTGACCAACTTGTCTGTGTGTGTGTGTGTGTGTGTGTGTGTGTGTGTGTGTGTGTGTGTGTGTGTGTGTGTGTGTGTAAGATAAGTCTCATGGCCTGGTGTGTGTGTGTTGACCTACTTATCCTGTGTGTGTGTGTGTGTGTGTGTGTGTGTGTGTGTGTGTGTGTGTGTGTGTGAGATAAAGTCTCCTTGGCCTGGTATGTGTATGTTGACCTACTTATCTGTGTGTGTGTGTGTGTGTGTGTGTGTATGTGCGTGTGCGTGTGTGTGTGTATGTGTGTGTGTGTAATAATAATCTATCTAACAATAATAAACGGTTTATTAATAGAGTTGCAGCCGGTGGCTGAAAATATACAAACTTACATTTGATTTAGACATAATGATATGTGTTGAATACATTTACAGGGCTGTACAGTAGATAAATCGGGAGTGTAATAATAAATAATAATAATAATAATAATTAAAGGTTTATTAAGATAACATGGCAGCCCGAAGGCTGAAAATATACAATGGACAGAGGTGATAGGTTACATGTGGCAAATGGCAAATGAAATTCAACACCAGCAAGTGCAGCGTACTTAATATTGGAAGAACAAATACTGTTAATGTATACAGCCTTAACAACATCAACCTAGAGAAGTCGACTTGTGAAAGAGACTTAGGGGCACTTGTAAGCCCGGACCTACGGCCTAGAAAACAGTGCGTTAATGTTCGAAATAAGGCAAACAGAGTATTGGGTTTTATATCTTGAAGTGTAAGTAATAAGAGTGCAGAGGTCTTATTGCAACTACGAGTATATCTTGCGCTAGTCAGGCCGCATCTCGATTATGCTGTTCAGTTCTGGTGCCCTTATTATAAAATGGATATCAATTCACTAGAGTCGGTGCAGCGAAGAATGACGAAAATGATTCCGGGACTTAGAAACCTACCATATCAAGATAGGCTAAAGAAACTAAACTTGCATTCCCTAGAAAGACGAAGAGTGCGGGGAGATATGATAGAAGTATTTAAGTGGGTGAAAGGAATCAATAAAGGGGATATAGATAAAGTTCTTATAATATCCGAGCAGAATAGGACTCGTAGCAACGGATTTAAGTTGGATAAGTTTTGGTGTAGGAGGGAGATAGGAAGGAACTGGTTCACAAATAGGGTGGTGGACAAGTGGAGCAAGCTTAGCAACTTTGTAGTAAGTGCTGGAAGGCTGGAAAGTTTTAAAAGGAGGCTAGATAGATTCATGGATGATGGAGAGTGGTAGTAACTCTCGACACGAGCTGCCATGCACAGGCCAACCGGCCTATTGCAGACTCCTTATTTTCTTATGTTCTTATGTTCAAACACACACACACACAGTGGCAGGAAATTGTATTGCAATATTACGAGATGTGACGTAAAGTTTATCCACATAATCAGATACAATAAAAGGTTCACACGTCTGTCGTAATCAGTTGACAGATGGTGACACCGTTAACAGTCGTAAAGTTAATGATGTGTTGTAGTGAGTATTAATTTGGTTCAGTGCTTTTATGGCCCTAAAGCGGTAGTGTGTGAGAGAAAGTGTATTAAAATTAAAACTTGTGAGGAAATTGGTAGAAAATATATTGATATACGAGGATGGAGTATTATTTATATGGTTGAATTTTCTTTACAAAATGTATATGATTCCAGATTATCAAGGTGTAAGGATGTGCTCAGTTAAGGTAAAACACAGAAATAACAAACAAAAAACATCATTATAACAATCAGAAGACCCTCTCCTCCTCCTCCCTCTTCTTTTCCTCCTCTCCTTCTCCTCCACTCTATTCTCCTCCTCCTCCTCCTCTTCCCCTCCTCTTCCCTTCCACTTCCTTCTGTCCTACACTTTTTCATTTCCCTTCATTCCTCCTCATCTCCTCTCCACTCTCCTTCCCTTTCCCTCCTTCTCACCCACTTCCTTTTCTCCTCATATTCTCTCCTTCTTTGTGTTGACCTCCATCAATAACTCTCTCTCTCTCTCTCTCTCTCTCTCTCTCTCTCTCTCTCTCTCTCCCCAGCCTCCTTTCATTTCCCTCTATTCTCATTCGCCTCTTACCTTTCTCCCTGCACCTCTCTTCTCCCTTCCCTCTCACACCCTTCTTGTTTCTCTCCCTACCTACCCTCCTCTCCCTTTTCTTTCTTCTCCCCTTCCATTTTACCTCTCCCACTCACTCCCCTCTCATCCCCCTCCCCTCTCACCCTTCTTCCCTCTCATCCACGTTGACTTATTGATATTACTCTCATAGGAACCTTATTAGCAGGATGTTGTTAGGGTTGCTGGTGAGAAATCGAGGAAGAGGAGTGTGGAATCAGTGGGTGCAGGGGGAGCCCAGAGGCAGGTGTAGGGAAGAGGGGTGTGGGGGGAGTGGGAGGAGGTGGTGTGGGGGAATGGAGAGTGGTGTGGGGAGTGGGAGGTGTGAGGAGGGGTGTGTGGGGGGGAGTGGGGAGGGGGTGTGGGGGGAGTGGGGAGGTGGTGTGGTGGGAGGGGGAGTGTGAAAGGGGGTGTGGGGGGGGAGAGGGGGTGTGGGGGGGAATGGGGAGTGGTGTGGGGGCAGTGGGGAGGGTGTGTGAGGAGGGTGGGGAGGAGTGGGGGAGAGGGTGTGGGGAGGAGAGGTGTGGGGGGTGGGTGGGGGTGGGAGGGGGAGGGAGAGGGGGGTGGGGGAGTGGGAGGGGGTGTAGAGGTAGGGGGGGAGGGAGTTGTGTGGGGGGGAGGAGGGTGGAGGGAGAGGGGTGTGAGGTGGTGTAGGGGAGTGGGAGAGGGGTGTGGGGAGGGGGAGGGGTGTAGGGGAGTGGGAGGGGGTGGGGAGTGGAGAGGTAGGGTGAGGGGATTGGGGAGGTGGGGGGGGGGGAGAGTTGTGTGGGGAGGGGAGGAGAGGGGGTGTGGGGGAGGGAGGTTGGGTGAGGGGAGGTAGAGATGTGTAGGGTGTAGGGAGAGATGAGTGGAGGAGGGAGAGGAGGGAGAGGGGTGTGGGGGAGTGGGAGAGGGGTGTAGGGGAGGGAGAGGGGTGGGGGGGAGGGAGAGGGTGGTGGGGGGGGGGGGTGGGGTGGAGAGGGGTGGGGAGAGGGGAGGGGGTGGGGAGAGGGTTGTGAGGGAGTTGTGGGGAGGTTGTGCTGGGGGTGGGGGAGTGGGGGGTGGGTAGGGGGTGGGAGAGGGGTGGAGGGGGAGCAGGGGTGGGGGAGGGAGAGGAGGTAGAGGGGAGTAGGGGAGGGGGGGAGGGGAGTGGTGGGCAGGAGGGAGTGGGAGAGGGGGAGGGGAGAGGGGTAGAGGGGGGGAAGGGGAGGGGGGGAGGGGAGGTGTGAGGGGAGTGGGAGAGAGGGGTAGGGGAGTGAGGTGGAGAGGGGGTGTAGGGGAGGGAGAGTGGGGGGTGGAGGGGGGAGGAGGGTGTGTAGGGAGGGAGGGTGTGGGGGAGTGGGGAGGGGGTGTGGGGGAGGGAGAGGGGGTGGGGGTGGGGAGGTTGTGTGGGGGTGGGCAGGTTGTGTAGGGGAGTGGGAGGGGGTGTAGGGGAGTGATGGGGAAAAGGTTTACATTATCGTTCTCGTGGGTTAAGGTATTGTACTCATGGGGTTAAGGATTTGTACTCATGGGATTAAGTTGTCGTACTCATGGGGTTAGGTAATGTACTCATGGGGTTAAGTTGTCGTACTCATGGGGTTGAGGTATTGCACCGATCTTGCCTCGCAAGCGAGATGTCACGGGTTCGATTCCCGGGCCGGTGGAAAGTTGCTCGGACACACTTCCCAGCCTCCCTTGGTCCCTGTTCACCAAGCAGTAAAGTAGGTACCTGCTGTGAATCGAAAGTTGCGAATTCGTATTCAGGGAAAAGTTGTTGGAGCTTCCAATAACTTGCTTGGACATAAACCATTGACTCTTCAGGCTTCTACGCCATTTGACTCTTCGGGCTTCTACGCCATTAACTCTTCACGCTTCTACGCCCTTAACTCATGAGACATAAGGCAAGCATGAACTTAGCATGCTTCCCCGTTGGGCGCTGTAAACGCTTCCGCGCTTCACATTACGCAAGGATATAGGGGGGTGCCCAATAAATAATAATAAAAAAAATTAGGTTAAGGTAGTGTACTCATGAGGTTAAGGTATTGTACCCATGAGGTTAAGGTATTGTACTCATGAGGTTAAGGTGTTTTACTTATGAGGTTAAGTTGTCGTACTCATGGGGTTCAGGTATTTTACTCATGAGGTTAAGGTATTGTACTCATGAGGTTAAGATATTGTACTCATGAGGTTAAGGTGTTTTACTTATTGGGTTATGTTATCATTCTCATGGATTAAGTAATCATACTCAA